CAACCACTGCTTGTTTTGGGTTTTATTATCGAATATATATATATATATATATATATATATTCGAGCACATAGTTATCACCACATGCGGTGTGTACTGGATAGCGCGTGCAGTGAGCCAGATACACTCCATTTAGTGCTAACTAAAGATAATACGGGGCGAAGTCTGTCAGTTTAGAGTTATAAAGCCGTCAACATGCCCACTGTTGGCCCGTTTGCTGCCAAAGCCTATTGAAACACACTGTTTGCGGGAGGTTCATAGACCGTAGTCTAGTTAGTGTTTATTGATTTTCGGAAGTAAAAAAAGCCACTCCTAGCAAGAAGCTCCGGAATGTCCAGTGTTCAGATGCGTCATTCTGGGATTTAGTAGAGAGTAACCTAATAATCCACCCACTCCACTCGCATATCAGGAAACAGTGTGTAACCAGAAGGAGAAACCAATGGACGAACCAACCGAAAACCCACGTCAGTTATGCTTGATTGTGAATCCAATAAGCCTGCTCTAATTCCAGCGTTCATATTTCCGAGGATAACACCGAAGGATGCCGACAATGAAACCTGTCTCACTGACCTCCACAGGTTTCTCTATAAAGCGTCAATAATAATATTTCCCTACCTTCACTGAATGAAACCTATTCTCCAAAGGTATGAAGGTTAGGAAACCTGAGACTGTGAAGTTTGAGTGCGTTTGAATGCGTCGCTGATGGCGTGGGTCTTTAGGTCTAAAGCACAAACAACTTTGGATTAATTAGTTTGCAAAGTTCCATCGTGGATGCTGTGAAGTCAGATAATGTGACAAACTAAACATTGGTAAGGAGGCTGATATTTGGAACTATCTACCGTTGATTTGGTTTTCCAGGAAACCAGAGAAGCAGTCCCTTCCTTTGGTGAAATCTAGAGTTTTTGGTAGAGATTTCAGATTCATGGTTACTAGGCTCAAAGGGACTGGAACCGTTTGCTTGGTATTGTTCCGTATGCGCCAATTTCTCACTGCTTTGAGTTTCAAACCACCTTTTCATGTGTGCGCACCAGCTTCCGCCGGGGGTTCTGCATAATCTGACGGCGGCTAAGTCTATCCATGCTACTACTTTTGTATTAACTAGATCGTCGTCATTTTGGCTTCCTTTATTCATCGAAATCAACCGTGACCCAAAACCAATTGCAGCTGGAAGGTCTTAATTAGGAGGATACTTTACTGCCTTTCGGTCCTCCTACCTTTTTCATATAGTGTCTTTTACGGTTGTGACCCTGTCTTACACAAGGCCGAATAAACACTATATCGATTCAGAATCGACACATCTAGTGTTCTGAAGGTAAAAAAATTCACACTGGTCAGAAGTGATTAAACATCGGATTTTCATTTACAGCTTGGATTTTACTACTTACCAATCACAGCCTCAACCGATGCTTATTTGTTATTGCATACAAAATAAATAAGTCACTTGAATCTAGCAGTTTTCTGTTTCTTGGCCAAATTTTTAAAAAGCACGAAAAATAAGTAGTCTCGCTTTGTCTATTCTATGCGTGGTTCAGCCTAATTGACGTTTCTGTTGCTCGTGTTGCACAACACTTGGGAACAAAATAAAAACAGTCTCTATGTGGTTATTCGCTTATCAGAATTCTGTTGGACTACTAAAAACCTGTGAATGAATACATGTGCCCACGCACTTAGCAATCTCAGAGTGACTGCGGTTGCAGGTTCATGAAAGTGTGCATCCCGCAAATGTTGTTATCACCGCGATTTATAGCTTAAGTACATGCTAAAAATTGTCCTAGTTTTGTTCCTACACTAACTTCTTGGTTTCTTCGTCCGTTGGTTGGTTGGTTGAAGTTAAACTATACCCACAAACAACAAACAAAACCACTGCTGCTTTGTATCTTCAAACAAAACGTGAATGAATGAATACTTTAAGTCTGCAGACACCGCACAACCCTTTTTGCCTCATTTGGGACCACTTGGTTGTGCACATTACTTTGCAAATGAATTGGACAATGCGCGTCCTCCCCCAAAATTTGTTGATTCAGAAGTGACCTAAGGAATATTCAAGCCCAGTAACAATGTTCAAAGCCCCGAAACAAGCGGCTCACACGTAGTCTACCGGTTCAAATAAAAATTACAAGTTAATCCAAGTGGATTTCCCACTCAACAATTTATATATTATAACTGCATGATTTGTACTGGTTGTAATGCACTTTATGTAAGTCGTTCTCTGGTGCCGGATGTACGTCGCCTCGTCGAGCGTCCTGCGAAAGAACATGTATTTTTGAATTCCGTAAATTCGCTCTCAAACACACCGAGGATTGTCATGACAACAAAGTTTTTGCAAACGACTGTCTTTTGAAACCCACCGTAAAAAAATTACTCCCACAGGCGCTAATAAGATTTGATAACGGGATAACTGACTTGTCGTAATGGTAGAGAAATACATTATGAACGTTGAAAATGTATTAGCTGTGGAAGCATAGTGTGTATGTGTGTGCGTAGCTGACGGATTGACACAAACCAGCCATGGCCGGACATAATGATGCATTAGGAAAGTAGCAATAATTACACCGCCTAATAGCAGCTGAAAATGCGCATCAAGGTAGGCTACAAATGGAATGGTGAAAATAGTTTTCATCCCGATCTTCAATATTCCCAACCCGTGGGTGTGATCATTTACAGATATGTATAGTCTTTACAAAGTGTTCAAATTTACCCTGTGCCGTTTAAGGTTGACGATTGGGAATTTATCAACTCTCCAGGAAAAGCTACCCATTTCTGCTAAATTTATGGAGAACAGCTTTAAAACAGTTTGATAGTCACATGATAGTCACTGCCATTCTATGTGGTACCAAAATCAACAACTTATTTTCGTAACTGTGGAATAGCTAGCAGCTCATGAAATGGACAGCACGGAAATAGCAAAGTACTTCAAAACGACATATTGAGTGAAGGAGCAAATTCATTATTTGCTTAATAAAATAGATTGTGCGCTAAAAGTTATGGTGGAACCCTATCATTTTTACCTTGAAAAAAATTTTAGTGGGAATAAACATCTCTCGCCTTCGACAGCTGAAAGAGAAGAGATGTACAACAGTCAGATGGTAGCATTCATATTATGTTTCGGCATTCACGCAAACGGGCGAAAATAGTATATATCTGATTGCAACCAGGTGGCTTCATCAACTTTAACTAACTCATTCTTTTATGTGTCTTTTCTTGTCGTGTGTTTTTATTCACATTTTTATTCAGTTTTCGTCTTGGGACATGCATTTGTATAAACGAATAAAATATTATCGGCTGTCATTGCGTAGCATGGAGGTAGCTGTTTTGTTGTGTGTAAAGCTGAATGTAACTTAAATCACTCTTTTATGCTCGTTGGGAAACTCGCAAGTGGTATCCCGTGGGATAATCATACAAAGTGGATGTAAGAAAACCGAACAACCAGCTAGTTGAACCGAAGTTTCGCGTAGCTTCATTATAAAGGTTGATGGAAGAAATATTTCGGAGCATAACCTAAAGCCATTGGGCCTGGATTATTGACCGTTAGAAGTGTAGAGACCCATTTGTACGCAGGTTGCAGTTGTCACAAGGGGTCCTCAAACTCACTCAAAGAAACCCATGGACCGAATATCCAGGCGAATCTGTGGGAAACCCATCAATCCAGGCGAAATTCCGACAACCTAAAAACGCCGCTATTTTGTACTAGCCAACTGGCCGGAAGTTGTTGAAGTGGCCAGTGTAGCCCCCCTGTTGCAACATAAACATAAACTAACCTACCCATGACCTCGAATATTTGGCAGCGACTTCGGGACGTAGGTTTTTTGGCAAAGTCGGATTTTCGGGCCGCCGGCAAATCCGCTAAGCTCAGAGAACTTTAACCGACGTCAGTTTTTTCTATTTGTTAATGAGTACCAGCCTCCTGCCATCTCAGGTAGGACAACACAATTGGTCGAAAGGTTAACTGAATAACATCAGGTTTTCCAGCACCATTTGGGCGGGGTTTTGTTGAGCTGCTCCAGTTAATGCGTTCAGTGCTGTACATGGGGGAGGTGCTATGTGACACTGAGTCTTGAGTATATTGTTGGATAGCGCCGCGCCTCGATGATGAACAGGTAACTGGTGGCACTTCAGAGAGCGATTGTTCCCAAAATTTATTAGGTCCGATCTTCATGTATGTCGGTTTTCACACCTTACTAGTTAATGCCTTTCGAAGAGGTCGGTTTCATTGCGCCACACAGTACGCATTAGCATGTTTACTCCATTCGGACATATTTAGAGACATCTTTAGGCCAACTGATGATGCGTAACAGGCCTCTGCACATTCTGTCGCTCATCTTGTTTCTTAAAGTTTCTATCGGGTACATCATCATGTCGGCACAATCTATCCATTGCTTTCTATCATGTACAAAGTTCTAGTGGAATGAGCAATAATGTCCAGTAAACTTCATGCAAAAGCCAAATGTGATAAATCACTGTCGTCGGAATCGAATCTGCCGGTCAGTAGTGGATAAACCACTGAATGTTCGATCAACTTTTGGCAACCACAGATGGTTTATGGAAAGTTGGATCTGAAGCAGCATGCAAATTTTAATCGAACTAATGCTATCGTTGGGCGAGCACAAATCAGTCAATCAAGGTCTTCCATGGTGACAGCTGAGAGAACCCAATAGTTTGTGTGATTACACACATGATCATATTTCGAAGAATTGGATTGATGGGTAGTACGTTCATCAAGCGTTGATTGGGGTGTTCCAACGAGGCGGTAACCTGCAGAAATATCAAGTGACAAAAGCTTATCTGCTGCATAATGTACTTGGCATGCACCATTATAAGAACGAGACCAGATTTGACATTGGCTATTTTGAAGTTGAATTTTGGTAGAATATATGTATATACGATGTAGAGTGAAGAAACATCCTAACATAAACAGACACGCATAGAAGTTTCGAAGTTTGTACAATGTTGTTATTTATTCCATAGGTAATTGGAATTTGATGACCAAAAGTGTTTCTCCTACCCTTGAACTGTCCAGTAGTGTATACATGATTGCAATGTTTGGGGGAGTAAAACCTTGCGAAAAGTGCCCACAAATTGTGCCTTGGCATTCACTCGCATGTTTTATACTGGTTGATGTTTGATGTGGACCTGACAAATAACATTTCAACTCACGTCGATACAAACCAATATTTTCGAATCACCCAACGCATAAATTATTCAAATTGAATGATAAATTAACTTCTTCAGCAGTACTTATCGTGAATTGTCATATAGAATGTCTTACAGATGCTCCATTAACTAGAATAAATAGCTGACTCCGTCTGTCAGCCGATACTGGTTGCCATCCCTGTTGTCTGGGTAGCTGAACTGTACCGACAACACTTGTCCGAAATGTCGGACCAGAGTTCACCTTATCTGTTGTGTGCAGTCCGAACACTGACTACTTACGCTCTGTTCATTCACACAGGTTTGCCCACATTCAGATGATAATGCAGTTTTAAATAAAACCATTTCAACTTCAACTGAGGGCGCAGGAAAAACCGCTTTAAATCTATGACATTCCGTCCAAATTTATGAACGCTCAGCTTCTTCACTTTATCCGCAGCCAATACCAGCCTTCCACCAAGATACACATAGATGCATTTCTATCTTGAGTATGTATCAGTAAGATATCCATCCAGCGGAGAAATCATGTATTACTGGCTTCATGATGTACGTGTAATCCTTTGATCTGACAAGCACGTGCTTTTTTTCATTCCGTCCAGTGGACCGGCTTGATTGAGCTTTCTGCTTCATTGCCGACACTCGAGTATTATTTGGCCGCACGACCGGCCTTGGTTCTTAATCCTATGGGCTTCTATATACTTATTCGAGTAGGCGGTGTGCCACGCTCGAAATAGAACACCTGAACCCCAGCCATGGGGTTTGTTTTAAGTAACAAGTGGACCAGATGCAACGTCCGAGCAATTGGCCTTGCTACTGTTGAAGTTAATATTCCTCGGCTTCAAGTTAGCATTGCTTCAGGTGAAGTTAAATTTACTGCAACTTGTGACCCAGCGCATGAATTCCTTATACGAAGAGCACCGCTCAGCACGTATATAGAGACATATAGGTGAAAACTGAAGCCATTTATCTGGCAAATAGACTTCGTATTCCAAGTAACCTCACGTTTTTGATGCACTCGACTGTAATACAAAAAGCAAGCGGCACCTTTTGTTTCACATATGTGTGCACCACTGAAAAATGTGTCCTATAAACTATTCCCTCTTGACTCCGGTAATACAGAAAATTGGCCTTATCGCAGGATTCATCATCTAGGAAAAATATGCTCTCCGAAAACCATCAGTTAATATCTCACCATAGGCTTATCTTTCAGAATACAGTCAACAATTTTCTTAAGTTTGACATTAGCGTGGGTACGCTTCACAGATACGAAAAAGAACAGCGACAACAACGAAAGGTCAGGAAAATATGACAGATTATTCAAGATAGCTACGAATAATGAAATCAAGCAATGTCAGCCTAAGTACATTCAGCATTCTACCATCATCTTAATATTAGCTACTTGGAATGGAAAGTGCTTACTTTGAAGAGGCAGTTTTCCTAGGGTGAACACCTCATTCTGGTAGTTGTGCAATCAAGAAAAACATCTATCAACGTCATTTGCGGTTACTCGGTCATGTGCTACGCGTACCAACAGATCGTCTACTGAGATGATTCTCGCTTTTCGTTCATTCTTGAAAGAGTACGACTTGACGGAATGGTTTAAAAGAGATTCCGAAAAGCCTGGGTGTTGTTGAAGCTGCCAGCCTTCCAGGACCCCCTGCATTTGGCTGGATGTGTCGCTAACTGCTGTGAGTGGTACTCATGCTGTCAGTTTCTTCTCAGATAAAGTTTTGATGATCATGACTTTCTACGAAACTTGTCCCACCAAAGTAGTGTTTACCAAACTCAAAATACGTTCTAGTAAACGAGCAAGGTAAACTCACAGACAAACACGGGTAAGCACCACAATGCGATGGACATTTTAAATTACCCAAACTTTGAGATGATGATAAGATGCTATCACTTGAGTAGAAGTTACATCACTGGCCGTCAGTTCCAGGTATGATGAGACTTCTGATGTTATTTTGTGGGAAAATCCACTTTCCGATTATTTTTAAACAAAACGTATAAACTTTTGGGGAAGGAAAACGCTTATAGCCCATCACTTCCAGTGCCAAAATATTATTTCCTCGAAATTACGAAACCTGAGACATCGCCCCGACGTAGCTTCGCCACAGATTATCCCACCAGTAAGATGATAATTTTAGGGTTAAGTGATATTTGTACGTTATTCCGATTGGCGATCAGCAAGATTAGATCAACACTTTACTTCATATCCCCCAAATATTTTGACAACGTTGAACGTACATGAATTTAGTGGAGCAAACTGGTCCATACCGCAGCTGAAAAAGCTTCCTTACGTCAATTTCGAAAGCTTAGACTTCCGGTCCGGACGGGAAATCACCGTTTCCGGGTAGATAATTAGTTGTTCCCGTAATACTTCACCATGGCGGCGCGTAAGACTGTTGCCATTGTTATGTCTCCTTGTATTATACCGGGCCTTTAAAGTTTGTAGTCAAGTTGGTTGCCTAGCGAGGAAATATATCCCTGTTGCTCGGCAAGTGCCACTAGCTAATAAAAAATATGACAGAATAATTTCTAGCTGACCAAGAAGCATTCTCCAAGCACAACTTATCAGATTTGTGATGAAACAAATCCCGGAAACCGATGTTCTTTTTTCATTCCGTTTCAGTAGGATATTATGTAGGATACGGGATGCAAAGTAAATATAGTGAGGCAACAGATAAATCTGATTGAGCAAGGTGAACTAACGCCTGTTTTTTAGTAGTACATGTAATTCAGTATAAAGTCATTCAAAAAGACTTCAACCCACACCGAGGCCTCTTTTATTCTCTATGTTAAAATAATGTAGATGCACCTTTCACCGACAAGTCCCTTGAAAGTGGGTACGTCTCAGGGGTAAACAATGTTTTCAGTGCTTTCCATAAGGCTCTCGATGAGTCAGATATAACTTTGGAGAGGACATACGGGAAAATTTTAGCACGTTACATATAATATTCTGTTATCTTTCATCAGAATTAAGTGCGAATGCTGAACAGAAAATTTAACAGTCGTTCAATCCTAACAACCACTGACTGGTTCGCTAACTATTTGGTTGATTCAGGCATAACTGATGGCACGTCAGATGAGGTTTAGCGGTCTGCTCCCTGTGCGGATGCTAAAACACCATTATGGGTCGCTCGTGGTGACACGTGTGTATCACATGGGGTAGATCAGGGAGCTAACGATTCCACTTCTTGATTCAGCCGAGAAAATGCTGACTAATGGTCGAGTTTTGTCGTGGATCGTTCCGGTGGTTGTGGCGAAAAGTACAGACGAAATTGAATTCCAAGAAGTGTCTAAAGTTCTAGGAATTTTGTGCTATTGCTGAGACCTCTATAAGCTGCTGATTCCGCCAGAGGCATGCCTTTTATCGGAAGCTCTTCAAACATAGATCAGTCGGTGAATATATCCTCAACTCGGCTGTTTTTCATGAAAAAACGATCTTAGCTCATGGTGAATTCTTCATAAAGTTAATTCTAGTTGTACAGCTCTGGACTCGAACTCTATCTCGGCAAAGGTGTATTAGTCATTCCGCTAGTGAAGGTCACATCTTTGCTAACGTGTTTACTAGGCAGGAGGATCTAGCCACTAATTTAGAATCTATCTAGAATGTTATGTAATTTAGCCAAAACATCTAATCCCTTGATTAACGAGTGGCAAAAAGTGGTGCAATTGTATAATTTCGGGCTCTCCAATTTCCTGTCAAACATCGCATGTTAAACAATTAATCATTACTTAAGAAGTACGTTCCGACGTACTGAGAACGTAGAAGTTCAACGCATCATATTCATTGGTTACTGTCATGACATCAAATATGGGGGGTAAACTACTGTCACCATGGGAGTGAGTCAGATTGAAGCTAGATGTATATAATCAAGACCAGTAACAGATGTGTACAGCAACTGGGGATGAAAGTTTGATGAATGGAGTTCATGGAGATCATGGGAAAAAACAGAAACGGGAGATTCAGATGCATAACGCGTAAAAATCAGATTGGTATGCAAATGATTGAATCTCACCAACATCGTGCAACTAGGACATGCAAGTAGATCGTGCAAGTAGAACGTAAGGTTGAGGAAAAGTCGCGCGTAGCTTGACAGCCCCATTGGGGGGTAAAATCGGTCGTGGAATTTTGCATCAACCTTATGAAAAAGTGCTATCTCTGCGTAATTGGGTTTCAGTTCATGGAGATACGGTAACCTTTGGGAAGGTCAGTGAGGTGCAGCTGGTAGGCAGAATTTAGGCAAGTATGTATTTGACTTGTTCACTCAAGCCCCGCTAGGATGGGCCAATGATAACTATGTTTCTTACTGCAAATACGGCTTCAGTTTCAGACGTCTAATTGTTACAGTCTCTGGCCAGCTGGCTCCGATGATTGACTACCTAGAGATAGTCTACTTACACGTTTCAAATCGACGATGCTGCGCTATGTGCAAGTAGTGTAAGCGTATACCTCACGCAGTGGCGTATTCTATGCTCTATTCCACATATATTTCTCCTACCACACATACTATCATATTTCAATACACAATGTGAGGCTGGCGGTTTTGGTGCTGACCTTGACAGGCGGGAGCAGCGGTTGTATCGGCTTTGACAAATACAATGGGTTGGTTCTTGGAAAGATCCGCCACATCGCACAGACGCCTGGTTGAGTAGATAACTTTAGTACTTGACGTCATGCTGTCCTGATGCTACTGGAATGTAAACGTTCGTCTGTGTAAGAAGTGATAGCGGTTCCTGAAGTGGACGATGATGAGTGTCTACTTTTGAAAGGTACACGTCTGTCCTAAGCCTTTGATGAAAATGTGGTGATGAAACCAATTCACAGCGCAAATAAACCGCGCACGAGTGTCGGGCCATATTTACCTGATGTAAAATCTTTGAAGAACAAGTATTTACATGAGTTAGGCCTCTGTAATTTGGCTAATTAGCTCTGATTAGCTGTAAAAAGGCGTGTTCAGTTTGTAAACTGTGTACTATTTTGCCTCAAGTAGAGCTTATTGTTGATGCAAGCTCATAGACTCCGCTTACTTGATAAGCCCCAGGAAGGAAAAAGTCACTCGTCCGCTGTTAAACCGCATTCAGCAGCCATATGAGTAGTACACTCCGTCAAGTCCAGTGTTTCCTTCCAAAAAGTAGTGTAGATTATACAGCTTGCAGACTAGTCGCCTCGCAAGTTCGACAATTCAATT